TACCGCGAACGGAGCGCTCCCGGTACCGCGAATGGAGCGCTCCGGGGCTGATCCCGGGGACGATCCCGGTACCGCTACCGGACCGCTCCGGGGTTGATCCCGGGGCACTCCCGGTACCGCTACCGGATCGCTCCGGGGCCGATCCCGGGACCGATCTCGGGGCTGCTCCCGTGCTGGTCCTGGGTCACTCTCGGGTCACTTCCAGTGCCGCTCCGGTGCCGCTCCCGGTGCCGCTCCCGGTGCCGCTCCTGGGTCACTCCCGGTGCCGCTCCCGGTACCGCTCCCGGGTCACTCCCGGTGCCGCTCCCAGTACCGCTCCTGGGTCACTCCCGGTGCTGATCCCAGTGCTGCTCCGGTGCCGGTCCTGGGTCACTCCCCGGTCGCTCCCGCTCCCGGTGCTGCTCTGGGGCTGGTCCTGGGTCACTCCCGGTGCTGCTCGCGGCGCCGCTCCCGGGTCTCTTCCGCTTTCTCCTGGGCCCGCTCCCAGTGCCTCTCCCGCTCCCGGCCTCTCCCGGCCTCTCCCGGTCTCTCCCGGTCTCTCCCGGTCTCTCCCGGGTCTCTCCCGGGTCTGTCCCGGGTCTCTCCCGGTCCCTCCCGGGTCGCTCCCGGTGCCGCTCCGGGCCCGGCGCCGGAACCAGCGAGACGCGGGAAGGAGCGGTGCCCGCCCGCCACAGCGCCCCCTGCCGGCGGGGAGGACCGGACACAGCTCAGGGGGACCCCAAAAGCGAGGGGGGACCCCAAAACTCTACAGGGACCCCAAAAATGTGTGGGGACCCCAAAAGTGTGCGGGGACCCCAAAAGTGTGTGAGGAACCCAAAAATGTGTGGGGACCCTAAAAGTGTGTGAGGAACCCAAAAGTGTGCGGGGACCCCAAAAGCCCGGGGGGACCCCAAAAGCGAGGGGGGACCCCAAAATCCCGGGAGCTCCTGAACCCCCCCTGTGGGACAGAGGGGACAAAGGAGGGGGGGGGGGATAAAAATGGTGGGGACAAAAAAGGGGGGGACAAAGTGCCAGGCGCATCGCACGTGTGGCACCGGTGACTCAGGGGGCTCAGTGACCCACAAGTGACCCACAGGTGACCCACAGGTGACCCACAGGTGACCGAGGAGTGACCGAGGAGTGACCCACAGGTGACCCAGAGGTGACCCAGAGGTGACCCATGGGTGACCCAGAGGTGACCCAGAGGTGACCCAAATGTGACCCAAAGGTGACCCAGAGGTGACCCAGATGTGACCCAGATGTGACGCATGGGTGACCCAAAGGTGACCCAGGGGTGACCCATGTGCGACCCAAAGGTGACCCAAAGGTGACCCAGAGGTGACCCCGATGTCACCCAGAGGTGACCCAGAGGTGACCCAGAGGTGACCCAAAGGCGACCCAAAGGTGACCCATGGGTGACCCAAAGACGACCCAGAGGTGACCCACAGATGACCCAAAGGTGACCCAAAGGTGACCCAGGGGTGACCCAAAGGTGACCCATGGGTGACCCATGGGTGACCCAAAGGTGACCCAGAGGTGACCCAGATGTGACCCAGATGTGACGCATGGGTGACCCAAAGGTGACCCAGGGGTGACCCATGTGCGACCCAAAGGTGACCCAAAGGTGACCCAGAGGTGACCCCGATGTCACCCAGAGGTGACCCAGAGGTGACCCAGAGGTGACCCAAAGGCAACCCAGGGGTGACCCAAAGGTGACCCACAGGTGACCCAGATGTCACCCCGATGTCACCCAGAGGTGACCGAGGAGTGACCCCTGCACAGGAGCTGGGGGGGAACGGGGATGGGACAGCTTTGGGGACAGCTTTGGGGACAGCTTTGGGGACAGCTTTGGGGACAGGGATTATTTTTGGGGTTATTTTGGGGTTTTTTTTGTGTTATTTTTGCCATTATTTTGGGGTTATTTGGGGGTTTTTTGGGATTATTTTTGGGGTTATTTTTGGGGTTATTTTGGTGTCCTTTTTGGGTTATTTTGGGGTTATTTTTGGGTTATTTTTTGGGTTATTTTTAGGTTATTTTGGGGTTATTTTAGGGTTATTTTAGGCTTATTTTTGGGGATATTTTGGGGTTATTTTTGAGATTATTTTGGAGATATTTTGGGGATTATTTTTGAGTTATTTTGGGGTTATTTTCAGGTTATTTTGGCGTTATTTTTGGGTTATTTTGGGAGTTATTTTTGGGGTTATTTTGGTGTTATTTTTGGGTTATTTTTGGGTTATTTTTGGGTTATTTTTGGGGTTATTTGGGGGTTATTTTAGGGTTATTTTAGGATTATTTTAGGATTATTTTTGGAGTTATTTTGGGGCTATTTTTAGGGTTCTTTAGGGGTTCTTTTGGGGTTATTTTGGGATTATTTTTAGGGTTATTTTTGGTGTTATTTTAGGGCTATTTTGGGGCTATTTTTGGGTTATTTTGGGGTTATTTTGGGGTTATTTTTGGATTATTTTTTGGGTTATTTTTTGGATTATTTTGGGGTTATTTTGGGATTATTTTTGGGTTATTTTTAGGGTTATTTTTGGGGTTCTTTTGGGGTTATTTTGGGATTAATTTTAGGGTTGCTATAGTGTTATTTTTAGCGTTATTTTCGGATTATTTAGGGGTTATTTTTGGGGTTATTTTAGGGGTTTTTCGGGAGTTATTTTTGGGGTTATTTTAAGGTTATTTTTGGGGTTATTTCTCCCTTTTTTTTTGTTTTTCAGGGTTTTTTTTCCCCCCGTGTTCTCCCGTTTCCAAAGGCCCGTGAAATTCCCGCTGCTCCCCGCCGGGAGCTGCCGGCGAATCCAGGCGTGAAAAATGTGCCAGATCCACCCCGGGAGCGCCTTTTCCCTCCCCTTTTCCAGCTTTTTATGGGGCTGACCGAGCTTTTCCCACTTCCTCCCCTTTCCCCTCGCCCCCATCCCAAATCCACCCCCGGGAATCCGAGCTCGGAGCTTCCCGAAGATTCCTCGGATCCCAAAATTCCAGGGATTGTGGCTCGTCCCCATGGATGGGGTTTTGTGCTCCCCTAAATCCTTCTGGAGGGGTTTTTTCCCCCCAAAATCCCATAAATTCCCATGGATGGGGATTTGTTTCTGAGTCCCATAAATTTCCAGGGATGGGATTTTATCCCATAAATCCCCACGGATGGGATTTTATCCCATAAATTCCCATGGATGGGATTTTATCCCATAAATCCTCATGGATGGGATTTTATCCCATAAATCCTCATGGATGGGATTTTATCCTATAAATCCCCATGGATGTGATAAAATCCCATAAATCCTCATGGATGGGATTTTATCCCATAAATTCCCATGGATGGGATTTTATCCCATAAATCCTCATGGACAGGATTTTATCCCACAAATTCCCATGGATGGGATTTAATCCTATAAATCCCCATGGATGGGATAAAATCCCATAAATCCCCACGGATGGGATTTTATCCCATAAATACCCATGGATGGGATTTTATCCCATAAATCCCCATGGATGGGATTTTATCCCATAAATCCCCATGGATGGGATTTTATCCCATAAATCCCCATGGATGGGATTTTATCCCATAACTTCCCATGGATGGGATTTTATCCCATAAATTCCCATGGATGGGAATAAAATCCCATAAATTCCCATGGATGGAATAAAATCCCATAAATTCCCATGGATGGGATTTTATCCCATAAATTCCCACGGATGGGATTTTATCCCATAAATCCCCATGGATGGGAATAAAATCCCATAAATCCCCATGGATGGGATTTTATCCCATAAATCCCCAGGGATGGGATTTTATCCCATAAATCCCCAGGGATGGGATTTTATCCCATAAATCCTCATGGATGGGGTTTTATCCCATAAATCCTCATGGATGGGATTTTATCCCACAAATTCCCACGGATGGGATTTTGGTCCCTGAGCATCTCCATGGATGGGATTTGATCCCAAATCCCCCTCCCCATCTCCCTGTCCGGGGTTTTTGTCTTTCCCATTCCCACATTCCCATTCCTGTCAGGAAAGGAGGGGTCGGTCAAGAAGGGCCAGGGATCGATCAGGAAGGATGAGGATTGATCAGGAAATGGGGGATCGATCAGGAGGGATCAAGGATCGATCAGGAGGGATCAGGGATCGATCAGTAAGGATTGAGGCTTGATCAGCAGGGATTTGGGATCGATCAGGAAGGATTGAGGATCGATCAGGAAGGATCAGGATTGATCAGGAAATGGGGGATCAATCAGGAGGGATCGAGGATCGGTCAGGAAGGATTTGGGATTGATCAGGAAGGATTGGGGATTGATCAGGAGGGATCAGGGATCGATCAGCAGGGACGGGAGCAGCCGGCAGGCAAAGGGCAGCTCTGCTGGGCTGGGGCAGCTCGGGGGGATCCTGTTCCCATCCCATCCCCATCCCCATTCCCATCCCCATTCCCATCCCCATCCCATCCCATCCCCATCCCCATCCCCATTCCCATCCCCATCCCATCCCATCCCCATCCCCAT